CTTTTGATGCTTTTGTGCTTAACGGCCTTAAAGGCCTTAACTGCTTGAACACCGCTAAATGCTGCTAGCAGCTTTAATTATTATTATTATTGTTATGATATTTCTATTATTAGGTATATGGGTATATAACTATGAAGGTGTATGGTGTGTGTGTGTGTGTGAGTGTGTATATATGTATGTATGGGTTTGTAGGTGCATATATATGTAAATATATGTATGTATTCCGCAATTACTTTGAATTACCTTTAACTGTTGCTATATGATTTGTGTGAAGGGCTTTAAAGGCATGAACTACACATATATCTAGCATATAAGTACCGTTATCTTTTTTTTTCCTCCCCTTTCTTTTCTATAAACCCATCATTGATGCCACTACCACAACTATATCACAATCATAATTACATATTTAGAATTTCTTTTTCTATTTTCTTTTCCTTTCTTCCTCCTTTCTATTCTTCTTTTTCTCATTGCATTCTCATTGCATTGCATATATTGCATTCTCATGCATTCTTTTCTTGTTTGTCGTCAACAAGCTTGTCTGATACTAACTTTTTCAACATCTATATTTGTTTTTGCTGTTATTTTCTTTATGTACTTATCTGTATTGCATTGGGGGGAAAAAACTGAAAACATTTTTTGAAAATAAATAAAAATAAAACACTGAGTTTTTAAAAAAGTGTGAAAGTGTGAAATTGGAAGAGGAATAATGCTAAAGGGTTTTAGAGCATCATTAAGGTAATGATATTTTATCTGGCCATATTCCAAATATCTATAAACATGTGGAAACTGTCTTTCAAATAGGTTTCAGAACAAAAGAGCAAGTAAATTGATTAAATCGTTAAAATTCTAGCATGATCTGAATGAAATCAATTTTTCGCAAGAACAACCCACACAATGTCCTTGCGATCAATCTGAGATATGTAGCCTCATTTAACCCCACTCTCAACCTTTATAGGGTACATGTATTACATCTAACCTTCTACAGCCATGCCTAAACCTTCAGCTGACCTTCAGAGGAACCCCTTGAGGCTGTTTCAGGCCCTTAACCATCACAGAACATGACCCATCCAGCTGAAAAGCCCTCCATCATCGCTGACAGATCCACCGCAGAGCATGGTGGGTGTTCCAGAATGATAATATAGAATCTTGGAATGCCATTTAAATCGTCTCCATCATGGTGGAAACGGATCATTAGAGTCCTCGAGGGGTTACAGGGTCCGGTGGTTCTCATTCAGCCCACCTCATAAGGCTGTCATTCAAAAGCTTCTTGTGTGTGCGTGTGCACGCAAATGTGAGATCCTAAGTGTGCACTGCAGGGTGATCGAGAAGAACCTGCACTCCCAGAGGTCTCTAAACTAAACTATTTTCTCTGGTTTGTACTTACGGCTACTTTTCTTCCTACTATTCTTATGCTCTCCAGCATTCATAAGACATTAAAGTGTGTCCTTATCTTCTCATCAGACAATTCAAAAATCCACTTCAGCGACTCTAAAGGCTACAGATCTGCCTAATTACACAAATGCAACCATCTTGTTCTAGCAGATACCATGTCCGCTGGGTAATTGTTGTAAACTCACCATTCACAAATAACATAAAAGTGTCCTGCCCCCCCCCACACACACACTTAATTACTTGTTCCTCTCATCTAAACCAACAAAGCTTTCCGCAACAACACAGATATGTCTTCATAACATGCTCTCCAGGCTACAGATTGTTCCAGAAACATTATAAATGTTTAATTTAACATTTAAATCAAACCTTAAGTGGTGTTTTTTTTAATGATCAATGGTGCATTTGTACGTAATTTGCATATTAAATGCACGCACAATGTGTTATCGACTGGTCCGTGTCCGAGCTATGCGCTGGACTTAAGTGCTCCTTTACATACATGCTTTAGAAGACAGCTTCCAAAAATTAGCATTGAAAAGGGTATTTAAAAGTGTTTTCAGAGACGGCAGAATCAAGCGGTCAGAGGATCGTTGAATTTTTCACTGCTAGCCACCCCTGCAACACTTTACACAGACAACAGTTTAACAAGAGTTTAGCAAGAAAGGAAAGAGTCTTCGGCCAAGAACTAGTGAGACTGAAGTAAACAAAGTAACCGCGATTTATGAAGTAAAGGGGAAAAATGGAATAACTGTAACGCTCAATAATACTGTAAATAACTTTTTTTTTTAAACACTACCGTTCAAAAGTTAAAAACATTTTATGATGCCTTTTATGATAATCAAGGCTGCATTTATTTGATCAAAAATACAGAAAAAGTGTAATATTGTAAAATATTATTACAATATGTGTTTTCTGTTGTAATATATTTTCAAATGTAATTTATTCCTGTGATGGTGAAGCTGAATTTTCAGCATCATTACTCCAGTCTTCAGTGTCACATGATCCTTCAGAAATCATTCTAATATGATGATTTGTGCTTAAGTAACTTTTCTTATCATTATCAATGTTGAAAACAGCTGCTTAATATTTTTTGTGAAATGTCTTTCATCATTTATTTACCTTCATGTTGTTCCAAACACGTATGAATTTTCAGTTTTCTGTACAATAACACAAAAGATATTTAATCTATTTTTGTGTTCCATCGTACAGGTTGGGAACAACATGATGGTGGGTAAATCATGACTAAACATTTGAAGTGAACTATCCCTTTAAGTAAAAATTTTAATATCGTTATTGTATTAAAAATAAAGGCCTGATTAAGTATCAATATGTTATAAAAAAAACCTGCAATGGTACTGTATACACAGCTATAGACACTCTAGACCAGCGGTAAGGTGAGTCCGTCGTCTGTTCTGCTGAAACTGGCACATGAAGAATCCACAGAGGAATCTCGGCATGCGTGTGCCACAACTGTTCATATCAAAGTGTGGATGAGAGGTAGATTTGAATCTGTTACTGTTGCTTTTCACCCATGTCTCTTTGGGATTTAAAGTTTGTTATATTAAAAGACGTAAAGAGAGAGCGAGAGAGGCTTCCGCTGTTGTTCCATTTGGCTTCCTAATCCTGCTCTGCCTCGAGCATTCAATTAACTCCTCACCAGCAGATCAAATGACTGGCTAAAAGAGAGTGTGACCGAGCCTAAACGCTAATTAATACTTAGGAATCAATGCCCCTCAATACTAAATGTCAAATAACAGTACAAAAGAGAACAGAGGAGCTCAGATGAAAAGCTCACTTTTCTATTACGATGGATATTTATGTTTCTAAGATGAAAAACAGAGCCGGCCGGTACAGACACGTGGGCGCGGGCTGAATGTCAGAGGAGACATAATGGGGAAAGAAAAGTGAAAGGTGCTCTGTGCCAGACACTTCAGCGAGCAGCTACAGCAGACCCACATTAACAATAATGTGCATTCTATTCCTCTCGCTTTTTCACTTTTGTTGTCCATTCGTCACTCTCACTCGTTCTTTTTCTCCGGGTGTTACAGGTACGGTACAGCTACAATAGAGTGCTGTTCAATCTAGGACTCGCTTTATTAGGATCCGTCTCGGCTGATCCAATCACAGGTGAAAAGGATTGTCAATTACCGCTTGGTAGTAACATGTGTTTCAAATGCGTCTCCTGTGGCCATTTGTGATTCTATTTCAAGGGAAGGGTTTCTAAACCTGAAGGGTTTATGTTACTGTAAGGGATGTGAATAGATAAAAAATCGATTTAAAAGTGATAAATTAATGCCAAATAATTTTATTTTTTGCGAATGAATATTTTTCTGTGATTAATCCTGATTAGGTAATTAATTATATCTAAAATTCACATTTGTAATCACAAATATAATTTACACACTGAATCCACAAATTATTGTAGAATCAATAAAAAAGGAAATATTTTTGCATTATATTTTCAAAGTGAAATTTAAGTAGGGTAAATTAGGAAAGTAAGATGATTAAATATGAAATATTATACATTTATATTTATATTAGGCCTATTGTATTTAATCTTTTTAAAGGCCTGCATCAGCAATATTAATATCAATTAATATCAATTGCTATTGAATGTATTTTATAATGAACCTTTCAAAGTGCCTTGTTATTTATATCAAAAGCTTGAATATACCAATTTGGTACTCAGGAAACATTCTTGTTATTATTAACGTTGTAAAGAGTGCTGGTTAATATTTTTGTGGAAACTGTGGGTTTTTTTTTTTCAGGATTCTTGGATGAATAGATGTTGCAAAAGAATAGCATTTATTTGAACTAGAAATATTTTGTAACATTATAAATGTGTTTAGTGTCACTTTTGATCAATTTACTGTGTCTTTGCTGAATAAAAGTATTAATTTCTTTTACAAAAAAATCTTACCAACCCCAAACTTTTGAACAGTAGCGTACATCAAATCACCAATTAAATCAGAGGGGGGAAATGGTCTCATGAAAATAGCACCCATTATAGATCAAAATGCCTTTTTCAATCACGAAACTTTAAAGGTATCTAACACCAACCACTGTGTGTGTGTGTGTGTGTGTGTGTGTGTGTGTGTCTGTGTACCTACTTAACTATATTTTGGGGACAAATGTGTACCCAGAAGTGACCAAAACCTGACAAAATCTCCAAAAACCTCTCTTTAGGGACATCCTCATTTGTAAATCTGGTATAAAAATAAATTAAGTTATTATTTTTTATTTTTTTATATGTAAAAATGCAGAAAGTTTTGTGTGATGGGTAGGTTTAGGTGTAGGGTTAGTGTAAGGGGATAGAATAAACAGTTTGTACAGTATAAAAACCATTACGTCTTTGGAATGTCCCCATTCAGATAGCTAAGTAACACACACACGTGTGTGTGTGTGTGTGTGTGTGTGTGTGTGTGTGTGTGTGTGTTTGTGCACCTGTTTAGGGCTGTTCACCCTTTTCAAAAACACTCCATTAGTTGAGAAACCCTCCTGAGCAGGTGTTGTAAATGTGTGTGTGCCTCCAAGAGAGCCTGTGTACGTGTAAGATTGCAGACCCCAGATGTCAGTGTTTGAACCCTGGCACCCCGCTAAGCCTGACTCACCTCAGCACCTCGTTGGGGTTTCCTGACTTGCTGCCTTTCTTGTCAGGTGTGCCGTGGCATCCAGACTTAAGCAGCGTGTGAGGACCCCGATCCAGCATCATTGTGGAGGTTGCCATGGCGATTATGGCTACAGCATCACGCACCCGAGCCTCCAGCCCGTAGTCCCACTCATCGTAGGAAACAGAGATCAAACCTGCAAATAAAGGAAGCGTTTGAAACAATCATCTGAAATATTACAATAGTTCAACCTTTTTTCAATTCAAACCTTCATCCTTCCCTTCTTACCTGTTGGAAAGACGTTGGGTACATTATCTGCATCCCCTGTCACCAGAGATGGTACAATCCAGGTGTAACCGTAACCAGTGAGGCCGACAGAATGTGCCACCTCGAAAATGGTTGTGGCTTCTTCTTTAGTGCAGTACAGTAGTATAACAGGACTTTGGAGCTTCTTCATCTGGTTCTGGATCTTTGAGTCGCCATCGTCGACTGACATGTCCAACAGCAGCACTTCTTCCAGCTCCCAGCCAACAAAACTGTTCTCAACGGTACTCCGGATCTGGAAGGTAGCAAAAAAAGACAGAGAAAGATGAAAAAAAAAATGGCATGTCCTGTAACACCCTCCTGCTGTCTCCAGATCTCCCAAAACTGTTCACTTTTGTTCTTTAGATATATTAAGAGGAGAGATAGTTAAAAGAGAAAATCGGCAAAAAGACAAAGAGGGAGTGAAAGTAAAAGCAAATATTTGTATTTAAAGGAATAATGAAAACACTAATCATAAAAAAATTCCCATCATGCACTTCTTCCAGATACCGGCCTAGCACATGTTTCTCTTTTTTGATCTCTATTATTTGTAAAGACGCAAACCTAACTCACGTTTGAAAATGCACAAACTACTCTGAGGAGACAGAGAGAAATTAAACTGCATTTCCTCATAACAAATTGTTCAAACACAAGTCCACAGAGATGCTTTTCATTCGAATCAACCGCAGTCAGAACTAGAAGATGAAATTATTGTACCCACAATTCTGATGATGCATATTTCTGTATCGCCCAATATTTGAAGCCAATTTGACAGACTTGCAAATTGCCCTGACAGTCTCATTACACACATTATGCAGTCAAGTGTATAGTGTGAGCATCCAGTACCACAGAGGTGGAAATATCCGTATAAATGTTATATTATGTATACTATTTTAAGAAATATAATAACAGTTTAAAAAAAGAAGAAGAAGATAACTTTCATTTATTTTATTTTAAGTTTTTGGTCTAATATTTTTTTATTATTATTTAATTTCAGAATTAATTAAATTGCCAAATTTTTACCATTTTTAATATATTTTAATATTTTATAGTTTTGGTTTTAGTTAACAAAAACAACACTTGTTCATATTATAGATGGACCGATATTAAAATTCTGGTCAGCACTGATAAGTGGATAAATCATTTTTATCTGAAAAGGTCAATATTAAAATTCTAAACAATTTAGTCCAAATAAAATCAACTAAAACTTCACAGATTTTTTCAAAACACAACAAGTGAATTTTTGGTACAAAAACACCAAAGGTAATGTAGAAGTAAAACCAGGAGAAATAAATATCCAGTATCGACCATTAACGATTCTGATAACTGATACATTACGAATTCTGAATTTCCAAACCGAGGTATTTCCATGGTCATTAACAAAGCGCAAAGTAAGAGAAGATAATAGTGCAGGTACTGCGGCACCCCGGGATATTGCAGAAGATGAAGGGCCACAAATAGGAGGCACTAGAAAACAGATGTCAGTGTGACTGAAGAGGAGAGTACCAGCATTGGACACAGTTCGTTCAAGCATTTGGAATCACCTGAACCATTGTTCTTCCCCCAACAGACAACACAAAAACCTGGCACTGGTCTCACTGGAAGAAGAACAAAAACCTGCCTGCTATACACCTGCAAGTGCATCAAGAGCCTGCTGCATGAGCCTCCTCAATAAGCGGAGCATCCTCTGGACTTCTCCTGGGCTCTGCTTGCATTGCCCTGAGGACGGTTGCTCCTGATTTGGGGAATGACTGAGAGTACAGTAAAAATCAAAGAACACAATCCTGACCGTTGCACTGTGTATTTAAGAACTCTATCCACACCACTGTGTGCCAGATATAAATTTAGGAGTTCTATGACAACAGATGGCTGTAATTTGAAGACGTTGCTTTCCAGTTGAGGATGTTCAGCAGTGTATATATAAAAAACATTTACACATTACTAAAGCAGTGTTATTTTAGTATTATTTATATACCAATATAGATAGTTTTTATTAAAATTGTTAATTAGCTTGTATTTTAATATTTTCATCTTTCGCGTTCATTTTGGTTAAATGTTTTAGAAAGTTTTTTTTTTAGTTATTCTTAGAGCTGTGAAAATTAACACGTTAACGCATGCAATTAATGATTTTTTTTTCAGTTTGGCGTTTAACGCAATTAACGCAGCATCCATTTTTTTCTGTCATCCATTGGCTGCACTACCGTATATGATCACGCTATAATTCATTCAAGTGCTATTAAACCATTCAAGCGTGAAAAAAATAACTCAAATCTGTACTGGCACACTGTCTGTGAAGCGGCTTTCTGTGAAAACACCCGAAAGCGCACAGAATCCTGCTTTAGACAGCACGGCAGCGACGCTTGAACGGACAAAAACACACAAAATTATGTCAAATTCCTCAAAATGATGTCTTAAATGAGTTGAAAAGTGTTAAATGAACATAAAGAGTTGTGAGAAAATAGGATGTGTGTCAGATCCGTGTCATGTACATCAGGTCTTAAAGTGACAGCAGCCTAATAATCCTGCTGCTGTGTGTGTCATTAATGTTAATCAAATCAATCACTGCTCTTGACAATCACTTTTGTAGCTTTAATAAGGATTAACCTATATTCAAATGATAATTTATGCAGTGAAGACTGTGCAGTGTTTAACTGCATTGAATAGATACAGAAATTATTCAAGAAGCTATTCAATTTCTATATATGAACTTGTTAGACCTAGCTGAAAATCTTAAACCACTGTTTACAATGTTACATGGGTCAAATACAATGAAAACAATCACTTTTTTGTGCATTTTAACAGGGCAGGTAAAAATCTGAACTGGTCTGACTGGGCCAGTAGAAAAAGAATTCAGAGTTGAGCGCTGAAATATTAACTCCTTCCCGTTATTGAAGGAAATTTCCGCCTTTCCGTGTTTTCACTGTTATACAGTGGGGCGCACTATTACGGAACTTCTAAAAGAGTACTGAATCTCCTGAAAAACACAGGAGAAGAAGAAGCAGAAACAAGCAATATCATGGCTGCGTCTGAAAACGTAGGCAGCTGACTTGTTGCCTCGCTGCCCTATCAGGCGATGACTTTGCAGGCAGCGTTTGCGCACGAAGATACCTCACGAAACTGATTTCTAAGGCAGAGGCAGCGTATGAGTTTAATGATCTACAGCAAAATATAGCAAGCTTCGACGAAAACTAAGTGAATATTTAATGACTGCAATTGTAATTTCATGACATCATAAGTGGAAAAAGTTGATCAAAAATGTACATTTACACACAAACTGACGACCAGCCGACACTTTCAGACGCCATTTTTATCTTTCTAGCTCAAATGTCACAGAATGGAAAGCACAGGATTGTGGGATGTCAAAGGCAGCGAACGATAGATCTATGCTCCCTTTTATCAAATTAAGGTATCTCTGGAGACAGGAAGTGAAACTAACATTGAACTCGGACGTGCCTTGATGCCTTCCGACCAGTGTTGGGGAAAGTTACTTTTAAAAGTAATGTATTACAATATTGCGTTACTCCCCAAAAAAGTAACGAATTGCGTTACTTATTCACTTTTTATGAAAAGTAATGCGTTACGTTACTTTTGCGTTACTTTTTCTCACCTGGGCTGGGCTTACTTGTTTGTTTTTTAATAACAACAAAACAAATTCTATTTTTGGCAAATGTTAAGGCCTTTTCACACCAAAAGTGAAATAATAAGCCCCAAGCTGAAGAAAATGCATATGTACTCCTGTACAGTAGAGGGCGCCGCTTAAATAAACCTTTCAGCTGCTGCTGTTCTGGATTAAAGAACAATAGGACACAGGAGAAGGAAGTTCAACACTCTTATTTCTAAATCTAATCTAAAGTCCTTTTTGCTGAATTAGATCATTGAAGGTCAGCAGCAAAGACATTGGTTAATAAAGTGAGATTAAATACATAAAGTATATTTGTGTAATTTAATATAGTTATTTATAAAAGTTTTGCGTACAATTCTGAGATTGCATTTTACTGTTTTTATTTATTTTTGAGGAATACTGAATTTTTTCGTGAGATGAGTAAATGCATGTTCACATTTAGGCCGTGTGTCCACCAAAGTTTTTTTCCACGCGCCTGGCGTATGTTTTCAATTGTTTTCAATGGGAGCGCCGTGTTTTTTAAACGCCATGAGCGTAACAAGGCGCTGAGCGTTTTTTTTAAGCTGGACTGCCGAGCGGCCGGCGTTTTTTTACTGCTCGCCGAGAGTTGAAAAATGTTCAACTTTGGATAAAACGCAGCGCTCATCACTGTCACTTTTTACCCAGCCGTCCAATCACAGTGGAGGAGGGGCGGGACTAATACCACACCCAGAGGCGGACAGAGTACAGAGCTTTGTTACTTGAGTAAAAGTACAGATACCCCTTGCTAAATTTTACTCAAGTACAAGTAAAAGTACTACATTCAGATGTCTACTTAAGTAAAAGTACTAAAGTACTTGTTTTTAAAAGTACTTGAGTATCAAGAGTACAAGAGTAAATTTTCTAAATATTGCATTACTAATCTACTGCCACAGTGCTTACATTTATGCACAGAAACGTCCTACATGGAGTTATGAAAAATGTTAATGTTAATACATTGGAGAATGTAAAAGGAATTGAAAGTAAAATCAAGTCATTTTCATCTTTTTACCATGTTGCTTTATTTAATTTAATTTAATTTTTGGGGGGTCCCATCTTAAATGCGGGGACAACACACACACACACACACCACATGTAAGGGTGGCGCTGCCAATAAAGCACCTAAAAGCTGTCACAAAGAACCGGCAAAAGGAATGATTATGAATATGTAAAATATAGCAAGGAGATATTTTACTTGTTTATTAATAAACACTTGTTAATAAACAAGTGTTTTCTTTGTCAGTGTCGGCTAAGATGAAGTTGACAATGCTGACTCGCGATCTTCAGTAGTGAACGCGCCAGAGAGAAATGCACATTTCATACGGATTACATAAGCAGAGAGCAGTCTGTACTCTGTTTTCTTTCGTTTTGAATTTTTCTGTTTAAAAGTAGACATGTCTGTGAGAGGCAAGTAGGCTACCTTATACACTGAGTTTCGGTTCATTTATGAGACGAGATCCAGTTCACGTGCCGGCGCCTCCATTTCTTATCTATCGTCTGCTATTTACTTCTTATTTATTAAACCCAGGCAATTGGTTGATGAAACATTGATTAAAATTAAGATACAATTAATGCAAAACGAAATTCAGGTTAAAGAAAGGTTTTGTGTTTTCTGTTTGATGTCTCTGTGAAAGTTTTAAAGCATTTTTTATGCCGCTTTCAGAGCGCTCACGTCCGTAACGGAGAACACGTCCATAACATTGTTTTTTCCTCATAAATGCAAACCCGAAAAATAAAATAAAACAAAATTAATATTTTATGTACTGTGGAGACTAAGCGCCAACCCTTCTTCATTCGCTGGGTAGTAGCCTACTTTGGTTTGCGCAGTGTAATTCACATAATCAGTAAAAATATATTTTGCCTCCTAAAGTTTTTTTTTTAAGAAATCAGAAATCCCTTGTGGCTACGGCTCTGCCACATCTGTGTTAAACACACCACATACTCAAGAACATCAAACCAAATGCTTGGCTTACATTAATGTGTAATATAAAATCTGACCATGGAGTTGACTTTGGCGGAAAGCTGAAAGTGATTGCTGATAGGCTGTCCCAATCAGTGGCGCCTGCACAATCCAATCACATTTGAGAGGGAAACAACAAATTGAGGGTGTCCGAGATTTTTCTTTTTTTTTACTTTTTTTTTTTTTTACTCGGGTATTCACGGTTATGGATAGAAATGTATTGGAGTAAAGAGTACAATATTTGCCTCTCAAATGTACTTGAGTAAAGTCATGAGTACTCCCCAAAAATGATACTCGAGTAAAGTACAGATCCCTCAAAATTGTACTTAAGTACTGTACTCAAGTAAATGTACTCCGTTACTGTCCGGCTCTGACCACACCGACCAACTGTCACAACATTCTTTCTGTACAACGACATCAACCAGCAGAGCTAACCGAACAAAATGGATGAAAAATAAATTTTTAGTATGAAACAAATTATCTGCGAAATCAGTTACAAGTAAACTGTGCTGCGGATATTCTGTATCATAGCAACGAAACGTCTCAACGGAAAAAACGCTGTGCTGTCAGAACGCTCTCAAGCGCCCACAACTAGGCGTTTTCAGCAGAGCGTCTAGCATTTTCAGCTGGCTAAAAACGCTTTGGTGGACACACGGCCTTAGTCTAGAACTAAAATAAGCATAATGTTTACACACACACCTCCTCACTTTATTTCTCTCAACATGGGGACAGGAGAGCTGTCAGTCAATACATGTGAAAAATTAACTAGCGTTACTTGTTTGAAAAAGTAACTGAGATATTTTGTTGTAAATTGAAAAAGTAATACGTTACTTTACTAGTTACTTGAAAAAGTAATCTGATTACGTAACTCAAGTTGTAATGAGTTTCCCCCAACACTGCTTCCGACCTTGGAATGCAGCCTCCGAAGGCAGCATTTATGAGATTCGGACGCAGCCCATTAACAATATAAGCAGATGCATACCGGTATGTAAAATAGTGCAATTATCATTCAACATTAAACAGCATATAAATCAAACCTGCCTAATGTTACTAAATGAAATGTCAACCCAGGACAAGCAATAGGACTTTGAAGCTTTGGGGGTGTTGATGAACTCGATCTACTCCATTTCCATCTATGTTTTGATCATCGGTCTGAATCCGATCTGGATGTAGTCTTTGACAAAATGTGATTTTCTCAGTTTTTTTGCTCAAAATGTTTGTTTGTTTTTATATTCATATTTATGTAATATTTAAGTGATGATAAAAAAAGAAAGGCATGAGGCTAGAAAAAAACTTGTTTGTTCTGTTTTTTTCTTTTGGTATATTGCATGTTCAGATATTCATACAACAAAATGAACTATATATTAAACACCAATACTTAAAATTATTTTCATAAACAAAACAAGTTAAAGGCACAGCTAAATGTGACATTTATTACAATGGGTTTATGTGGAGATTGTTTTAAGTTCACTTAAATTAAAAGTTGTTATATATTTTTAAAACCCATTAAATGTTAAAAGATTTTTCAATTATAAAAAAAAATAATTCAGCTTTCAATTATTCTGTGATGTTCAATGGCTATAATCCATGTAATGGAGACATCACTATGGGTATCAGTGATACTGGCCTTCATTCATAGTGCTTAGTAAAAAGATGCAATTAAACAAATATTTATAATATACTCTCTTCATGTTGTTTCTACATTATTTTGAAGATTCAATGTGAAAGTTTTACAACAAAAATGAATTAAAAACTTTAATGTTAGATGCGAAATATCACAATTATTTAGTTTTTTTTTAATCGATTGACGGCACTAGTTATTTTATTCTATTTATTTCAGCTTTATTTCAATTAACAAAATGTTTTGAATAGTTTTTGTTAACAACAATAACCTCTACTCTAAAGAGGCTAGCATGAATTAAAAGGGTCAACGCTACTATTATAGGGCTTATACACAAGTCTAAAGGCATAAATTGTGTGAGAGTGAATGAACAGAAAGATGGTTACAGGCAAAACTCCACTAGTCATCATTTACTCACCCTCATTTCATTCTAAACACGTATGACTTTCTACTTAGCATGCAGCCTTTTTCTGCTGTCACATGGCGTGAGAATGATATAAGAGTCAGTAAATGATGACGAAACGATGTTAATTTTTGAGTGAACTATGCCTTTAAATCAGAAATGATAAAACAAAATTGGAGAGGAGTTCCTGTAGGAGCAACGTATACTGAAGATAGGGGAGAGGACGGGTACATTAGTTTTGACAGGAGCCCCAGCGTACAGAAGACAGAGGAGAGGAAGAGAGCATTAGTTGAGACAGGAGCATTGGCAAACTCCTGATGATGAAAGAGGCTCGAGCTGCAGCGACTGGCTCCCCAGCGGGAGTCACAACGCCGGGATTAGGGTGTGAACCCAACCAGCTAGAGTCTCCAGAATTACGGGCAGTGAAGCAAACACCATTCGGTCTGGGGTTTCACAAGATCCCAATCTCATTTAGCTCTGGATAGGCGACTGTTTATACAACCTGATGATGCATTTCAATGATTTGATAAACAAGACTAGGTTCTGCTGAATGTAATGTTTGGTGGGATTATGAACGTGCTTTAATCAGAAATACAATTGACCACTCAAAACACACTAGAAATCTCCTATAGCGACCCCTGGTATCCACCCAGGACACCCTTGCAACCACATGGCAATATGTTAAAAACCCAGCAGAACACCTTAGAAACCACATAGCAATGCTTTTCTGCACCACAATTTCCTTTAGAAATTAAATCTAGAGAAACACTGTGTTAAAATGTCAGTTAAAACATAACAAAAAATATAAATAAATGTGATAATAATAATAAAATAATATGAATAATAATAATAATGACAACATACATACCCACTACTGTTTAAAGCTTTGGGGTCGATACTTTTTTCTTATTATTTTTTTATAACATTGTTATCTTTTTTAAAGAAATTAATTATTTTATTCAGCAAGAATGCATTAAATTGACCAAAAGTGACAGTAAAGGTAATGATTCAAAAGATTTATATTTCAAATAAATACTTTATATTCATCAAAGAATAAAATGAAAAAAAAAGATGTAAGCAGCACAACAGTTTTCAATATTATTCTTGAGCAGCAAATCAGCATATCAGAATGATTTCTGAAGGATCATGTGACACTGAAGACTGTAGTAATGATGCTGAAAATTCAGCTTTGTATCACAGGAATAAATTAAAATTTTAAAGTATATTAAAATAGAAAACAGTTATTTTAAATTGTAATAATATTTCACAATTTTACTGTATTTTTGATCAAATACATGCAGCCTTGGTGAGCCACAGGGACTTTCCAAAAATCTTTCCAACCCCAAACTTGTATGTACAGTATATATATATATGTGTGTGTGTGTGTGTGTGTGTTCAATGAGTTACTGCAGTCTTCTAAGCTTTATATGAAATGACACCTGAACTGAACTGACATCACAACACATTGTTTTATTTTCAAGATGACTTGAATCAAGCACATAGATAGGCTTGGATGAAGACTGAAAAATTGTGAAAAATGTCTCACCCGATTTACAAAGTCCTGGTATCCAGGATAGTAGGTGGTGACGATGGAGAATATGTACCAGTCATATTCCTCCATTATGTTAAGCATGACAGAGGCTTGCTGCTCTATAGAGGGACCAAACTGGAAGAACATGGAATGGTCATCCTGCAAGAAATAAAGAAACAAATGCATGAGAAAACAGAAGAATCACATCATAACATGGCATCAGTAGGCTATAGTTACACAAGAATTTAACCAAGCTCAAATTCCTGTTGTATTCTTCTTGCCTCCGATCCATTACAAGCACTAACCGACAAATGAAAAGGTAGGTTTATTAGTTGGGGACACTAATATTCAGCAATATTACTGATTTGACTGCATAGAAACTATAATGACACTTGAACTGAGCTGGATGATGACATCACTGTTTTCTGCAGAGCTGCTTTATAGCTCAATTGAACTCAACTGATTTCATAATTGATGAACTTTACACGGTTATTGAACTAAATCAACACTGAACTGACTTCAACTGAATAATGACACTATTGTCTTTTTTATAGCAGAATTGTATTCTGTTTGCATAATTTATCATTATTTTCCTGTTTATCACTGTAAAGCTTCTTTGAAACAGTCTGTATTGTATAAAGAGCTATTTAAATATAGGCGACTTGACATGACTATCTTTTTTCACTACAGTAACCTGCTAAGGTTTGGATAAAGGAAACAAGAATCAGGTTGAAGAAAGTAATGCTGAGAAAGGCGGTATAGAAATATGAACCGACCCCAGCAGCACCGCAGTTCGCCAGATCTAACATCTGCTGCATCAAAGCATGTGAACGAGACACATTTTTGCTCCCTTAATATCTAAATGACCCCTTCACTGAAACAAATATGCTCCATCCCAGGCAGTTTAAATGTCCAAATGTCTGTGGAACATTGGCGAGAAATGATTTGTATAAATGCATTCCAAATTCTTATAATAAGCATGCCAATGAACTCTTCACATCTAATATGCATACGTGTGTGTGTGTGTGTGTGTGTGTAAGCTGTCAGTGGCAAATAAGCCAAAACGTTTTAAAGCTATACACACATGTATGACAGTGCACATGAATGCATGCACATTGATGTATTGGTCTGTACAGGCCTGTAAATTATTGTTCTGTGTGTGTATTCATGTATGAAGTCGGTCGTGGGCGTTTGCCATGTTAGTCATGCCGCTTGGCGAAATCTCACAGTCTCTCTCTCTTTCAGGTCTCCATTCTCTACTCAACATCAAAGCCACTCCCCTGGGGTCTGAGATGGACTGACCCATTACCTTGATTCTGCTTTAATGAGGTAACAACACTGATGGGGCTGTGGGGAGGGGGGGGGGGGGGGGGGTTGGGTTGTTAATCTTACAGTTGTAGTTTAATGTTTTAATGTTGTTTATATATTCTTGTTTTGTAGAGTTAACTAAATGTTTAATATTTGCTTGATTTGCCTGCAATGTGTATGTGTGTCTCTGCTCCTTTCAGTTTGTGACTTCTATTCATTTACGTGCCCCTAATATTAATTTCCTGTCTTAATTCCACCTCTTCTCATTTGGAGTTGATCCCATCAGGAGAGGTGGGTCTCCAATCACGGGGTCGTTTTAGTTTTTAGCTTTAACAAATTAACACTTTTATTCGGTAAAGACATTTATAATATTACAAAACAATTATATTTCAAATAAACGCTGTGCTTTTGAACTTTCTTTTACAGTTTCCACAAAAAGAATAGAAGTAGAAGTATAATTTCTTGAGTAGCAAATCTCAAGGATGAAGGATCATGCGACACTGAAGACTGGAGTAATGATGCTGAAAATTCAGCATCACAGGAATAAATTAATGTTTTACTTCTGTTTTTGTCAAATTTAATGTTCATTTCACAACACTAAAAAAACGATATCTAATTAAGGGAAAAAAAATAAATCTCTTTTCTCTTTTATTTATTTAATACTGTATATATATATATATATATATATATATATATATATAACCCTGTTACTATTATATTTTTAATTAGAGTTTTTTAGTAAAAAAAAAAAAAAGTCCTTGGAACAATATTCCAGTATTACATTTGCTTTCTAAGAACAATTTTCAACTGTACATTTGACACACACAGACACACAAATGTATGATATATAGGCTACCATGTGTCAGATTTGTTTCGCGGATCATTCCTCCCTAATCCGGCGCTCTACACTTCTGCTCCTCACCCCCTCCCTGTCATCAATCTCCCTTGCTCCGCTCTTCCTCTTCATCCATTCTCAGTCTATTCATCTCAAAATGAGCAATCACAGACACATGCACTCCACATGCAAGTGAATTAGCAGACTCCCGTTCCTCTGTTTAGCACAATGGTGGCGGACCTAGTCATCCACAATACTCAATACGCCCCTGCGCAAGCAGCAGGGAACTAATCCAGACCTTACATTACTCTCCTCTCACTACTTTCCTGCCTTCCTCCTCAATAATGAAGACTAGTGTCCTGCAGAGGCAGTTTACAAGCAAAGTATCTTCAATATTCGAATGAGAGGCAGTGACATAAAATAAGTTCCCCGCTAACTCTTGACTGCTGGGAGGGGATAACAGCTGAGCTCCTGCCATACACGATACCTCACCAGAACAGCATGTCATTGAGAGAGAGGAAGGAATGAAAAATCAGATGCGTTTAGGAGAGCATGCAACTAAATTCAAGTGATTCATCAGTTGATCTACCATGATGGATTAGATTGATTGGAAATAAGAGGCAACTGGTAGCCAGAAAGTCAAAGAAAAGCGAGTCCACGGCATGCTCTTAGAAAAGAAATGTTAAAAAGCCTTGATTTTAAACTCTGGTTCTGATTACTCTTATGATTTAGATTCCTTAATGGTTTAAATAACAGTTCTTTTAATACTCCTAATGAATGTCTTTGTGCAAAAGACATTGGCATTAACTATATATTAAACACCAATACTTACAATTATTTGCATAAAATTCCACTGACAAACTACAGTGCAAAGAACCAGTCTGTAACCCCAGTTAGTGTTAGGGCCCTATATCATACACCCGGCACAATGCAGCACCAGGTGCGACGCAAGTGTTTTTTGCTAGTTTCAGCCTGACGCAGTTATCATTTCCACGTTGTTTAAATAGCTAATGCATTTGCGCCCATTTGTGCGCCCATGGGCGTGCTGGTCTGAAAACGAGGTGTGTTCAGGCACGTTGTTGGCGCGTTGCTATTGTGAGGCAACTGAAATAGACTGCGCCATTGACCAACTGAGTTACTGAAACCTGGTCTAAAGTCAATTTAAAGAGCGCATTAGTAATATGCGCATATAGGCGGGTGCACAACACGCGTACACTTTGCAGCACACAAACATTTTTAAATATGAAAAATTAAAGGATTAAAATGTAATTATTATTAAAATAATCGCACACAAGCAATTAGGTTTCCTCTGGAGACGCGTTTAGTCTTTCCGCTTGCAATTTCCGCCATGTAAATAGCGAATACACCATGGCGTGAGCACAACTGGCTTTTAAAGGGAATGGGAGATTAGACTCTGATTGGTTTATTGCACGTTACGCCCAAAACACACCCATCACTCATTAAGAGAATTGAGACAACCCTTTTAGACGACGCCATTTTCCTGTCGTTAAACTAGCAAAAGTGGATTCGGACATGCCTTAAGTGCACTTGCGCCGTGCGCTTTAGACCATGCGCTTAGATTGTTAAAATAGATTTTGTTCATGCACAATTACAACTTTACCACTCGTAACAAGAATTTCACTTTCACTATCATTCTGGTATGACGCACCATTAGAAACCTGCAGTCTATGCTTGCCATGACACATTCTGAGGAAAGCTCTTTTTCCAGAAATATATTAAATTAAAATTCAGTTTTGTATCAGAAGAAGTATCTTGGACAATCATTTTTCTCTATTCAATACTAATTGAAACTCAACCAGAGAGCTCCTTCTGTGATTTTCTTCAACAATAGAAAGAGGCCCTTGCAGCAAGTAGTGCTCCAAAAATCTATTTCTATTTCTTTACACGGACTCAGAGATAGGCCTGAATAATAAAAAAATTAGATGAGAAAAAGAACAGACACAGAGAATGAATGTAGAAAGAAAGAAATGAAAAGGAGGAGAGAAAGACAGCGAGATAAAATAAGAGTCGAGTCCAGGATTCTTAATTTGACTTTACTGTAACTTCTGGAGAAAGTTGATGCACCATTACTTCCGTCGCTAAAGACAGATCCTCTCCTCTACAACTGTATTGACAAGATAGTTTAGATTCACCCCTTCAGAACACCAGTGGCATTAACAGCTCGTGCTGAGCCTCAGAGACTCGCTCTCCAGAAGGTCACTCGCAGCATTAACAGCCTCTACTGCTGCTGGCTTGTTAAGCCTGGCAGCAATCACGGAGCTGTCCGACTTATAGACTACAGAGAAATAGAGAGCGCAACCTTGATCGTAGAAGATAAAACATTTATCGAAATTAAAGCTAACAGATACACTTAAGATCAAAGCGAGTAGTAAGAAAAAGAAATTGCACGGAGTAATCGAAAAGAGCTGCCTGAATTATGTACAAACCACTCGACAAAATACAATTTGAGTAACTGAAGACTAAATGTGAACCCTTATATATAATAGATGGATACTTTATGTTACAATAGATAGATGGATACAGTAGATAGAACAATAGATTGATCGACCGACAGACAGACAGACAGACAGACAGACAGATAGATATATAGACAGACAGAAACAGACAGATAGATAGATAGATAGATAGATAGATAGATAGATAGATAGATAGATAGATAGATAGACAGATAGACAGATAGACAGATAGATAGACAGACAGACAGACAGACAGACAGACAGACAGACAGACAGACAGACAGATAGATAGATAGATAGATAGATAGATAGATAGATAGATAGATAGATAGATAGATAGATAGATAGATAGATAGATAGATAGATAGATAGATAGATAGATAGATAGACAAAAAAGACAGATGATAGATAGACTGACAGATGTGGATAGATAGATAGATGGATAGATGGATAGATGGATAGATGGATAGATGGATAGATGGATAGATGGATAGATAGATAGATAGATGATAGATAGACTGACAGATATGGATAGATAG